GGCTCAGGGGGCGAAGAGGCGGCCCGGGTCAGGGCAGTTGAGGACAGGTGAGCGCAGATGACGCATCACCGCTCCACAAGCATACCAAGCTGTCCTGCCTGGATCTGTGGTTGCTGGTTTGTTTACAAGACACCTCTGTGTGTTCAAATACAAGTGAAAGTTCTACTGTTATAATTCTCTATATGCCCAATGCCAAAGCGCAAGATGGGCCCAGCAGCTTGCGGTAAGCTTTCAAAGGTCTGAGACAGGCGGCCCACCCACCTGCCCTGTGGATCCCCACACTGCATCTGGGACGTCAAGTCACCGCCCTCTCTCCTGCCCCACCCCCGATCGACCGCCCAGGTGCGCGGCTCGCCTCCCCTGGCTGCGGGAGCTTCTTTGCCACACCGACGGCGCCGCCCGCGCCGCCGCCGCGCGGCTGGTCGGCGCGGCGGCTGCTGCGCTCTCCCGCCAGCAGCCGGCCGCCGGGGCCAGGGCCGCGGGCGAGCTGCTCTCGTCGCTGCTGGCTGTCGGCTGCCCGGCGGCGGAGGAGGGCGGCAAGCGGGGCGGCGGCGCCGGGGCGGGGGCAAGCTCTAAGCTGGAAGAGCGGGAGGGGAGCATCCTCGCTGCAGGTGAGGGCGGCGCATTTGGGATGCTGCGCGTTCCGATTTTTGATCACGACACCGTGATGATGGTCAAAGCACATGCACCTGGTAATGCCGTCGGCAGGGCTGCCGCCCCTGCGCTGCCTTGCCTTCTAAGCGACGGTCTGCAGGGCTGTTTGTGGCTACAGAATCACCCATTCTTAATTCAAAACTTGCAACAGCTCGCCTCTCACTGAACGCCATTAATACCACAACCCTCTCCATTTGTATTGGCAGGCTTTGTCACCGCGCAATGCCGCGCGGCGCTGCCTCCCGCGGCGCTCCAAGACGCCGTCAGCCGGCTGGCCGCCCTGGTGCCTTCCGCTGATCGCCAGCCATTGCTGGCCGGCGCCGCGGCCCTCGCACTCGGCTACCTCGGGTCTGCGGGCCGCCTGCCAGATCTCGACGAGTCAACCTCGGACGCATCCAAGCCGTCGGAGGCGGCCAAGGATGGCGCCGCAGGAGCGGCGGGCGCGAACGGCTCGGCAGAGGAGGCAAAAGCTGATAAGGATGAGGGGGCGGCGGCGGCGGCGGTGCACGAGAGTGCCGCGGTCATGGTGATCGCCAAGGCGCTGCCGGCGCCGACGGTGGGGCCAAAGGAGGTCAGCCAGGCGGCGGCGACCGCAGTGGCGCGCTGCGCGTTGGCGGTCGGGCTGGCCTGCCGCGGGGAGGACCGGTCCGAGGTGCTGAGGGCGGCGGTGAAAGGTGCGGGGGCGCATGTGGTGCAGCGCGCCGTCGTTCTGCCGCGGTCACTCGTGCATGGATGGATGGCCATCGCACACGCGCCCCGTTTGATGCAGTGTGTGGTGCTAATCGCGTTGACACGCCGGGCATTGCCCACCTTCAAACCTCTGCTGATCTCGCCCCCTTCCCTTGCATACTGCAGCCCCTCGAATCCATGCCGTCGCTCTCACCCCCCGCAGCGCTAATGGGGCTGGCGCTGTCAACCAAGAGCGAGGAGGTGCGCGCGGGGGGCCTCTGTGGCCGGCGCCGGACGACAGTGACGGCGGCGCTCTCACGGCTGATACCCACCCTCCCATCTTGGCGGCGTCGCACGTTGCTGGAGCTCCCACACCTGCTGCACCCGCATCAATTGGCCGCGCAGCCTCACGAGCCGCCACGCAGGATCCAACGCTGCTGTCTCGCATGCAGTATGGTCCATCGGTGATCCCGCCGCCCTTCGACCCTCACGCCCGCACCGCCCTTGCCTCCAGGCGCTGCTGGTCGCTGGCGAGGCGCTCGCGCTGGCGTTTGGGGGTGTGCCGCTCTCGGACCAGCAGCTGCTGCGGTCACCAGGTGAGAGGGCGCCTGAAAGTCTCACTATGATGATCCATGAACGCACCCCTGCACACGCTCACCGTTTGTGGTGCTCGACTTGCAAAGGCTCCGCGTCCCGGCCGGCGCACTCGTCAGTGCCTCCCCGCTCTCATCGTCTGCATGCCCACCCTGGGGGCTGGTGCGTTTTACAAGGCCGCCATTTGTGCTGCGACCCTACACCCCATTCCAGTGCCGAAGCGCTGCAATGCGTTCACTTGCAGCGAGCCCATGCCTGCACCGTCACACACCTCTGGTGTGGTTGCAAACCGCTAACCCCTGGCCCCTGCAGGCACACGCCTGTCCGATCTGCTGCCCGCTGCTGACGAGGACGACGCTGCGGCAGGCGGCCACGGCAACAGCGGCAGCGGCAACGGGCCCGAGGCGATGGCCGTCGACGGCGGTGCCGGCAGCGCTGCCGGCGGCGGCGCAGGTGTGGCGGCTGCGGACGCTCTGAACCCGCGGCCTTGGCTGCAGGCTGAGGTGCTGTCCGAGCTCAGGGGTCCCCTGGCAATCAACAGCAAGCCGGAGGCCAGGTGGGTGGGGCCTGGACAGTCCAAGGGGCCTTTGCAGATGCTGTACGCACCTTGGGTCATGGCCTGCACGGCTGGGCCGCTGGGTCTGACCCCATGGGTGTTTGGTGTCTTCGTTCCGTAATGTGCGACCTGAAACGCCGCTGAGATATGTGGGGCGTTCTGCTTGTGCATGTGGGCCTTGCGTTTCAGAGACCGAACATACTTGTGACCAAGCTCCAGGGCGAGCAAACCTGCGTTTGTTTTGTACAGCACCACCACGACCACGCCCAACCCGTCCCCTTGGGACGCGCAGGTGCGCCGCGGCCCTGTGGCTGGTGTCCCTGCTGAGCTATTGCCGCTGCTGCCCCCTGCTGGACGAGGAGGGGACGCTGGGGCAGCTGCAGGGCAGCTTCAGCGCGCTGCTGGGGGACAGCAACGAGCTCACGCAGGTGGGGGACGACGCGGCCATCCGCCGCTGCTCTTTTACCATTTGGCAGAGTGGTTGTCCATCAAGCTGTATGGGATACAGGGTGTTGGGGGCGGGGTCGATTGGAAGTGTGACATGGCGGCAAAGCTTGCGTGGATATGGGGGAGAATTGGGGCCAAGTGAGGGGTGAGACATATGAGGATAAAGGTCACAATTTATGTGCGGCAGTCTTGTGGCCCTTGCGCCGCGACAACAGACGGCTTCAAACGGCGTTGCTCTCATCATTGCCCGCTGCGGGGTTTCTTCGGCCTAGCGCCAAGTGCGGGTGTGGCGGTAACCTGCAGCAGCATTTCGTCCACCGCAGCTGCCTGGGAACCCCTCATGCACGACCCGCCGGGCCTGCTCTTTCGCCCCCCACACACCTGGGGTGGTCCCGCAGGAGACCGCGGCGCGCGGCGTTTCGCTGGTGTACGCGAGGGGCGGGGAGGCGCTGCGGTCGCGGCTGCTAGCCCAGCTGGTGGGCGTGCTGCAGGGCGCGTCGCCAGGGGCAGCTGCGGTCAGCGGCGTCAAGGGCGCGGCGCTCACGGCGGACACCAAGTGAGGGACGATGGGGCGTTGTGTGTGTGTGTGTGTGTGTGTGTGTATGTGTGTGTCTGGGCCGATGCGTGCTCAACTACGTATGTCGCATGTGCGGCTGTGTGCACGCGTGCGTGTGCATACTGTTAGTCGGCACACATTTTTTGTCCCGCATCTCTCACACTCAAAAGCCTCACCCAGGCGCCGCGACCAACTCACCCGCTCAAGCTTGCCGGCCCCTCACGCTTTAAACCCGACCGCCAATCAGGATATTTGAGGAGGGTGCGCTGGGGTCCGCCCCCGGCGGCGGCGGCCTGTCCACATACAAGGAGCTGGCCTCCCTCGCTTCAGACATGGGGCAGCCCGAGCTCATCTACAAGTGAGCAAGATGTCAGGGTGGGGTTGCGCTCGCGGGTTCAACTGCTAATGGCAGGGTGCAGGGGTCGTGCGTTGCTGAACAAAGTCTGGCTTCCGAGGGGTCGTGGGCGGCGCCGTGGCCGGGACGCAGGCGGTACATGCTGCAGCAAAGGGCAACCTGTGCGGTGTGCTAGTGGGGTGTGGTCGGGGGTCGGGTGTGCGGGGCGCTGGATATGTGTGAGCACCCACGCTGCCGACTGCCTAAGTGGCCGGCATAGCTCCAGCCGCCACAAGTCATGCATGCTGCACCACCACCTTCAGGCACGCGTCCATGTGTGCATGCGCACATACGAACACTCACACACACATTTGCACTGGCGCACGCGCGTGTGCGCTCGCGTGCGCGCGCACACACACACACACACAGACACATATGCACACAAACACATGCACACATGCACACATGCACACACGCAGTCACGCACACATGCGCATGCACACAAAAGCAGTCACACCTGCACATTTGCACGCCTACTCTCAACACAAGGTTCATGGACCTGGCGCGCCACGCGGCCGCCGCCAACACTAGCCGCGGTGCAGCCGCTGGCATATCTGGGATCGCGAAGCTTCTTGGTAGGCTGCCCCCTGACGCGGTGCGGCGCCGAGGGCCTGCACAGTGCTGCGGGATGCAGCAAATCTGCTGCGGAAGGGGGTGCCTCCCCAACACCCTTGATACCTTCAAGATTTGCACCCATATTGCAGGAGCCTGAGCATGTCAATACCCCCAGACCCTATTCCAGCAGCTCCCCGCTGCGGCGCTCACGTCAGCGCGTGCTTCGCCCACGCAGGCGGCCCACGTGCGGGCGCCAAGGGCGGCCCCGGCGGCGCCGCCGGCGCCCTGCCGTCCCTGCTGGGCCCCGAGCGCCTGGCGGCGCTGCTGCCTCGCCTGTACCGCCAGCAGTACGACCCCTCACCAAAGTGAGTACCCTCACAGCTGGGTCATCAACTGCTTGCAGCGTTTGCGGACCGAGCTGCTGGCATGGTGGGAGGCAGACTATTTGAAACGTTTGGTGCTGCAGCTGCATGGGTTTGCATTCACGGTTGCATGTGATCATGTGTTGCCATGTGCGAAGTTGCCCTGTTGGCACTAAGACTGCAGTAACCTCCGCTCGTCATCATTTTTTTGCAATTCAAAAGGGTGTCCGAGGCAATGGGAGCTATCTGGTCAGCTCTGGTTGAGGACACGCGCGGCGCACGTGAGGCGCGGGGG